TTCAGCAGAATGTGTGATGGTCAGCCTGAAGCTGTTGATATCCTAATTCTTACATTGCCTCATACATAATTTTCTACCTTCTGTTTCCAGAAAATTAGTTGAAAGTTTGATTTTCACAAAAAGCCTGGTTGTGAAAGACATGTAACTGATATCTTTTTGCTCTAGTTACGTGTGCTTTAATAACTTACAAAAACCATGCACAGAAGAGACTATCTGTGTCTTTCCTTTCAAACTCTTGAGGAAAAGGTTGTTCTAAAGATGGGGTTTTCTCACTGCTCTACTGTACTGGCAGAACGATTATGTTCTGCTTGCAATTAGAGGTCTGGGAATTAATGTAAAAAAATCCAGAGAGTCACTCACTCAGGAGTTGATTTTAAGATAAATAGGCAGGCCTTTTTTTGCGCAATATGTAGGCAGGTTGGTAATTATTTTTGCCTAAACTTGATCTTTGAAACAATGGGTTTTTTCCCAGTGAAGTGGAATATTTGATGTTCAGAAGGTTTTTATATAGGCAGTACTTCAACGTATTTTAAACTAAACTAAATCGTGCAGGTGTTTCATGATCCTTTGAAATCTACACATGTGAAAGTTCTTTTTCTCTAGTACCTTGGTAGTAATTTTTACTGCACTAGAAAAGACATCTTCAAAGGTTAAATGTATTGAATTTTTTTTTTAATGATTTTGCATTCCTGTTAGGAGTTCGGTGGGCAAATTACTTGTTTCAGAAATCATAAATCAAGTTTTATGTATGTTAGTTTTGTATCCTAATTGGGATTTATTTAAAGAGAAAATACATCAGTATTTCATTTCAAATCAAAATAGATGAGAACTGTAAACAGTACAGCAAAAGAAAAAATTTTATTGGAGTTTCCATTTTACTGATTTTTTTTGTTAGTGATTAAAATATTTCTAAACATAAATAGAAGAGTATTTTTACATTTACAAAGACAAAAAGAGATGCAGTTCATCCATTAATTGTTTCCTGACTTTCTTTCATATTCTCCTGAGGATCATCTAGGTTGAAAGATTCTTTCCCTGCTAGTTGCTATCCTTCCTGTTGCCGTTAGATATCATGCCTTCTGCTAGTGTAAGTGTACCTGTGCATACGTCCAAAACAACTTCTTTCTGAAGTGTGTGGTTTGGATTAAAAATTCTGATGGAATCAGAAGAAGAAACAGGTAGACAGTTGTTCTGGGAGATCTGCAGCAGTAGATCTGCTCTTTAGCAGTGCCGTGTGGCGTGTACAGAATCAACCAATTCCACTAGACTTTTCATAGAACTTTGACATAATTAAATTTGTGCATAATGCACTTTAAAACTTTGTGCTAAAGCCGCTTCATAATGGCATAAAAGTATTTACTATATAACTAAATTCCAGGGAAATACAACTTTAATAATTCACATAGATATTAAACTCTGTCCTTTAGATTCAGTAAGCATGCTGTATTGCAAAACCAACCATTTTGCATATATATACTGAATAAGATCAAACCACACCTGATATCTTGGATAACTGAAGGATAACTTAAAGGATAACTGCCAAATGCTAAAACCTGAGATTCGTGAAATGATATTATCATATCAACTTTACTAAAGTGGATAGAGTGTATTCACCAATGCCATGTGATCAAATACATCGGAGGAAACTAGTAGATCTAAAAATAATCTGAACAAACACCGATTTGAAATCTTGTCCAGGGGGATGAGAGAACTGAAATCCTAAATTCTTGCAATTTTTTGTTTTTCAAAGGGGTTTTTAGGGCTTTTTACTTCTTCTCCCCTCTCCCCTTATAAATGTTATAAATCCATCATACCACTGGTTTTCACATCTTTTAAAGGGTTTTCTAGACTTGTTCACCAATACTTTTATTTCCACGCTCATCACTTGCTGCGGGTAATAAGCCTTGTTTAAGCCCATCATTGTGGCTTTGGTTCTTTTTTCCACCTCTTCTGTTTTACAAAGCTGGAGAAGTGGACACTGAGGAGGTCTCCTCTCATAAATCCCCATGAGCAAATATCATCAAGATTTAAAAAAAAAAAAAAATAGGGGCGGGGGGGGCAAGAGAAAATTAATTCCTGAGTTTTGGTTTCAAGCTGTTAACAAGTTTAGGATGATATCTCTGGGTCATTTGCATTTGTTTTGCTTTTGAAGGTTATTTTTACAAGTTAACAAGTCGGGAAATTTAGGGCTTTGACTTGCATTCTCCTAGTAAACTACTGCAGTGTTTTAACAAGTTATCTTTATAGAAATATTGACATGCATTGGACTTGTCAAATGTCTATGAAAGAAGATAATGAAACATTGTTTGGCGTTCATTTTGATAGCAGAAATAAGACACAAATTGTTATTCCTGCATTGCATGTATCTTCCTCGATTGTCAAAAACAGTTTCGGCTTTTTTTCTGCAAGATTTGTTATGCTGTTTATGTCTTAGTGGGTCCTCCTCTATTTTCTCCAATGAATTAAAAAGGTTTTGAATCTTCATTTGATAAGATTACTTTAAACAATTTACCGAATTCTTCAGTTTCTAATTGTATCAGCATGGAATTCAGGAGGGGGTGTATCTACTTTGTTATTACTTTACTTGAAAGTTTCTTGTCATTTTTCTCAGTCTTAAAACTTGCCTCTAAAGCCTGGCAGTGAGTAGTTTCTGGTAGCGAAGGAGGCTGAAAGAGGTAGGAAATATTCGTGTGATTCTTTCGCCCTTGCTTGGCCTCACTTAATGTATGTGAGTCAACTGAGTCCCCTGGAGACTTAAGTAGACCTGTCCAGCACCAACCTGGCAAATCTGTCTGGCTTGTCGGAGAAAAACTTTGGGAATCGGTCCTTGTGTAGACTTGCATCTTTCCCTCTCCTTTTTATGATAGCCTCTCTGATTTCTTCAAAGGGTAAAAGTAATGTCCAGTTAGCCAATGCAAGAAGGTGTTCAGGGACGTTAGCTTACATGTTTTAATTGTTACTTTAAATCTTAACTAACTTTGCCAAAATGGATCGCATTTTCTGCGGTAGTTCTTTGACTGTTAGTGAGTTGGTAATGAGCACTCCAAGGCTTCCACTGGCATACACCTGAATCTTGAAAAGAAGTCTGACCAAAGATGAGTTTCCTGTAAGCATACATAACAGCAAGCTTGTGCCATTTCATTTTCTGTCTGTGCTTTTGTTAAGAAAAAACGCTAATTCCTGAACTTCTGTTACTCAGGTTGTGATAGCCTTCAATTCAAGAGAAATTCTGTGCTCAAAACCCTATATAAATGAAATAGAAGGGAAATAAAATACTCTTGGATAACCTCATTGTCCATTTCTAGAGTATTTTCTGAGCAGTTCTTCAATGGGTGGGACTCGAATCACACATGGAAAGTTTAATTAGCTCTAGGTGCCTTCTGCAGAATACTCTCTCTTTGTGGTCTAGTGTCTTGATTCTTCAGTATGCCTCTGGGTTTTATTGGCCTGTAATATAGCATACCTTTACTGGTACTACAGGCTTTTTCTTGAGTTATATAGGGAAATTGAAGGCAACAGCTAATTGCTTTTCAGTCCAATGGAACCTTGTAACACTAGAGTAGGAAGAACTGATGGGAAAGGAAAAGACAGATGCTTCTTGGGATTTTTGGGTGACATACATACGCATCCTGGATGCGTTAGCATAGCTGTAGCAGTTTCAGATTTGCTAAATAGAGGGAGAAGATGGAGAAAGGAGACGACACTTAGATGATTGCCATTGAAATTTAAGCAAGGTCTACCAGCCTCTATGGCTGAGCTGCTTGTCTGGCAAATGGGTACTAGCACAGCCTTACTTCTTGGGGTGATGATACTATGTAAAGCATTCATATTGTTGCATATCTAGGTCATACAAGAAGATGTATAAACGGCATATTTATCTAGCAAATAATCATGTAATGAGCTAGAGGTTCAAAATGAAAGGTTAAAGTTCCCTTTTTGGTGAGCTAAGAAACAATTAAAGTATAAACTTAGCGACAGCATTATATTCTGCAGTCATGTTTGTAAGGAGCAGAGTAGCTTTACAGCTGCTGCTCTGCAAATGTCTTGCTCTCGCCACTTCCATTGGACATTTCCCAGGGAAAATTCAGAAGCCATACTTTCCTTGTCCTTTTTAGTTAAGCGTTTTGTTTCATCTTTTTCTTTCCTCTTGCTGTATAAAGCTATATTCGTCCGTTCTCATCTCCCCTTCCATCTTAGTTTTCGGGTATTTGCCTTTATCTTCCTTTTCTGTGGCTTTTGTTCACGAAGAATAATAAAGGTGCTGCCATTTCTATTATTGTTAGTAAATAACTTTCTTGGTTTAGAGGAAATATGGTTTAAATAATAGTTTTTCTTTAACATGGAAGTCTACAGGCACAGAATATTCCGTAGAGTCAAATGATTGTCAGTGTTCAGCTGTTACTTTTTGATGTGTAGTAGTGCGGTCTTCCTGAAATAAGCTGTCTTCTGAGAAAACTTGTCAAACTTAACCATGCTAAGCTGTTAAAACTAACGGAAAGTTAGTGGTAGCCTAGAGGAGTAAATGGGTAAAGTAGAATTAGTTGCTTTTCATGAGCAAAGGCCTTTATGAGAGAAATGATAGTATTTCTTTGCAATACATCAAGTTTTATCATCAAAACCAAAAGTCTGTTTTGTAGTAATGGTTATGACAAATTAGTAGTTGAATTTTGAGTAATATTGCCATTATTAACTTCATAACCACCTTATTTTAGTAGTATTCTGATTGACTTGTGAATATTACAGTTGTTTCGTAAATACAATGTGGAATATAGTAGATAGACGACGATCAAGTTGCCTTACGGTTGTTTGGCTTTCTGAATACCTGAGGCCAATTTTTACCATCTTTAATGTATAAGCCATGTGGAGGCAGCCAGTAGAGAGGAATACACAACAAACCTTACAAGGGTAGATCTTTCAAACTACAGTCAGCTTTCCATTTCTGTCGACAGTTTGGTTCAGGATTATTAGTGAGCCATAGGTCTATAATGCTTTTACGGGTAATGCAAGTGTAGCAATGCTTTAGCTCCTCTTCCACATGTGAGGGCCAGGCTGATAAATCATTGTGTCACCCCATACGATGTTCATGGTATTGGGAGTGCTAGGGTGTGGTGGGAAGTGGTGGTCCTGCCCACAGCCAGCCTAGATCTGGTGGTGCTGCTGAACAGCAGGACCTAACAAGCCAAGCTGAAATCAAGCAGCCTTCTGCAGAACCGCTTGGAGAGTCCTCCTTGCGCTCTCCAGCACTCTGGGAGAGCCTGTTACCCGAGATATATACTGAGCTCGCTTGGGTCTGGTGGTCCTGTTGAGATGCTTTTGAAACTGTGGTCCGGTCTAGGCTTGTGATGTCATGGAGTACCCCAGATAAAAAAAAGTGGAAATCCCTTGATCTTTTCAAAGGATCCTATTATGATTCTTTTGTCCCTTGCTGGTGCTCTCACAGGTGAATGCCATAGAGATGCTAATACAAAATATTTTATGAATGTTACATTCTACGCTTTGGATTTCCTAACTTTGCTCTTTCCTGAATATGCAGTCAGAAACACTACCCTTTATGAATTCTGGAGCCATACCTTCTTTCATTGCAAATTGTTTGAGACTTAGTAGTAGATTACTGGTTACGGTAATAGTAAATATAATGAGGATAAACCTTGTTGCCAGATTGGACAAACCAGTTTTAAGGAGACTCCTCAAAAGCTTTCCTGAGGAGGGTTTCATGAGAACTTCTGAGGGGATGAAAAAAGGGAGAGAGGTGAAAAAGGAGTAGTTGGGTACTGAACTGGGTGCGTATGAGTGTCCTCAAGTGATTTGTTTATTCACATTCAGGTATTGGCATTTAATAGTTCTCTGCAAAAAGTAGGCTGATAGTCATTTTTGTCACTTACCCAGATATTTTTAAATTAATATTTTTTTAATACTCCTACAGAGAGGAAGATTCAGAAAGTGAGAAAGATAAGAAAATCTGGTACTATAGCACAAAGATACAGCTGGCAGAGTTAATTGAATGCCTAGACAAAGATTACTGGGAAGCTGACCTATGCAAAACTCTGGAAGAAATGCGTGAAGAAATTCATCGGCACATGGATGTGACAGAAGACCTTACTAATAAAGCAAGAGGCAGCAACAAATCTTTCCTTTCTGCAGCAAATGGTAAGAATATTTTGTTTAATGGGAATAGATGTTGCACTTTGAACCAAATACTAGTTTATATTTGTTTTATTATAAGAAGTTTATAGAAGTTGATGGAGAAGCATCATGCAGGTACCAGCATGGCTAGGTAGTGCTGACTTCTTGTAGGACTACGTATCATTATTCCAGGATGTCCTGAATGATTCGGATTCTTGATATGCTTAGGGTGTGCCAGATTGTGATCATTCCAGGTGTTGGAGTGGAGCTGTGTTAACTGTCAAATGTTTCTTGATGTACTGTCTTTTATACATATATGTATATAACTCCTCATAAACATTTAACAATCCAATGGGAGTTAGAGTGGCAAAAATATTAGAGCTCCAATATTATGGAAAGTGTGGAAGAATGCGTATCTCCTCTGCAGTTCCCCACCAACTTAATTTATCTACCTTGGAGCAATAAAGAGCAATATAAATCTGTGAAGGTTTGAACTTTGGTTCTAGGGAAGACATGAAGATTAGATATTCAGGTTTAAAAATGGATTTAAGTCATCACTATATAAATGCATAACAGAGAAATCAATAATTAAATCTTGGGAATTGTTTCTTCTAAATGGGGAAAAGTGGTAAGAAGTTGGATGTTATTTTTTGTCTGATTGAAAAGAAGTAGTATTTATGTCATGTTATTTCTGCTCAGTGGCTAGTAGGTGGTGGTTTGTTTATTGATGACAATGTACTTTCTATTGTAGATGAAATTTTGGACATTATCAGAGCAAGAAAAGGAGAAATAGTGGAAGATAAAAACACAGCAGATGACGAAGCAGAAAAGGCCAAAAGTGACGTTGATAATGACCAGATAGATGCTGAGAGGGGCAAGGAAGACTCTGGAGACCAAGATAAAACTGAGGAAACACCCACTGAGCAAGATGCGGAAAAAGTGAAAACAGAAGGTAGAGAAACTATGACTGTGCTTTAACAACTTCATTTAAGTAAAGTAAATCTTTAGTTAAGATCCTCACATTTCTTTAAGTGTTAATATGGGTTTGTTGTTTGTGGGTTTTTTTGTATGCTTCTCTAAGTTATTTTTTAAGTAATACAGTTCCTTTGTAGTTGTATATTATAATTGTTTTTCTTGTTAAGTAATTTCACCAATTTTCCTACTTTTCAAGTTAAATACAGCTAGCTTGTAGATACTTTGGCTTGAGGTACAGGTGGCGCTTACAGGTTGTGATCAACATGTTTGTAGTAAGCAATATTACATCATTTTTAACATTCTGTTTTCCTCATCAGAATTAAATAGTTTGTTCTTTGATTCTGAGACAATACTATGACACAGCAAAAAAAAAAAAAAGAGAGAGAAAAAGAAAAAGCTCGATGTTTTTCAGCATTATCGAACAGACAAACAAAGCTGCTGCAGTTGCTTTCTATGGATGATGCCAAATGACATCCTAAGACATACTAAAGAATATCCCTAAAGTTTTGTTGTGCGTTTTACTATAGAGGCAACAGTCGTTGGGGATAAAAGTAACTCTGTGACATCAAGCACTGATGACAACAACACAAATCCTTCTGCAAGAGAGACTAGTTGCTCTGAAGGGAAGAACGCAATGGGGTGTCAGTCAGAAACCCTTGATAGCAACAACGTGGCAGAGAAGAAGGTGGCATCAGAGCTCCCTCAGGAACTCTCAGGTACAGAAGGCACTGTTACCAATGCCTCTGTAATTTGGGGAATCTGTTAAGTTTTTCTATCTGGTTTGTCCACTAAAACCATTCACAGCGCATATCACTCATGCTGTTTGCTTGCAGTGCCATCCTTTACTGCTACGTTGTCATTAACATTTCAAAGTTAATTTTCTTGCAACTAGTGCTTGAAATTTGTGGTCCTCCGTGACATTAGCCTTTGTTTCCATGCCTTCCAAAGATGACTATGGCTAAGCTTTTTATGTTCTATTTTCTGTATATTTTATTTTTCCATAGTGATCCATAATGATTGTTAGCATCCTATCAAAGTTTATTACAAATTCTAATTTGCTGCTGGCTTGTTTATTATTTTAACCTCTCATTTACTGTATAAATTACTAACAAACAAAGTATTTTCATTCACATGAGTAAACAGTTGCACTGAAATGTCAAGATTAAAATTGTCATGCTAGGAATTTTAAACAGATTTCAGAATTATAAGCTCTTGTTGTATTTTAATGTGTTTTGTTCTGCCATGTCAGTGATTCAAAAGTAGTAATATACACTAGTTAATTAAAAACCGAAACAAACCCAAACTTTAGATTTAGGAGTAAATGGGACCTGATTAGGTGTAACATAAATTATCAGTGTACTATTTTAGAATGATATTCTATTACATTTAGAATTATATTCTACTATAAGCTTTACTACATAACCAACTGTTATTCTAGACATCTGATTGCTGTTAAAATGGTCAGAGTTTTATTTTCAGTTCTTAAAAATCTGAAAATACTCTAATCTGTGATGTAGCTATACTCAGTGTGTTATGTTTTAAAAAGTGGTAGTAAATGTTTTCTCTCCTACAGAAATAGTTCTCCATTCAGATACACATTGCAGTTTTTGAACTTGCAAATGTGGATGCATCCAAACCTTGTAATAAACTTTGTTTGAAAGTTAAGATTAATCCATAATCTGGAAGCCTCATAATACACTTCTTTAATACAGAAAATGTCCTAGTGCGTGGGACAAAAAGCGTACATTTTAGATATTTGATGAAATATTTTTGCCTGTTCTCATATTTTTTTATTCCATTTTAAAGTTAAAATAACTGTATAGAGGTTTAATGGAAAAGATACATATCCTTCAACTTTGTTGCAGACACATTTATGGGTTCGTATTTTATTTTAAAGATTCACTTATGTATTTATCATGAGTTCTTTATTATACTTTCACAGATACTTTTCTCCTTCTAAAGCTTCTAGCTTATTTTGAAATTAGTGGGCTTTTTTGGTAGGAAGGTGTGTGTATGTGGAGAGGGTTCTTCCTCAAGTCATAATTTACTATATTCATAGTGATGCTTGTGTTCCTATTACGAAATTTCAGTTTGAGACCCTCATTTCAGAGGGAGGGAGAGAGACTGTATCAGTGAGGCAGCTACAGCTGCCCCCAAAGAAGGGGAAAATAAGAGTAAAATGCAAAGCTAGACGAGAATGTGTCTCTCGCCATCCTTGTTAAATGCAATTTGGATATGAGTCTTTTATTAAGAGCCTAGTTTGGGTGCTTCCACTCTCCTCCAAACAGCAGGTGCCACAAGTGGTTCCATTCTTCCTCTTAGTAAAAAGCGAAATGGATCAAGCAGTGGTGGTCACCTACTTGGCAAAGCCAGAAATCAAGATGCATTTAGGTTAGGGATCTTCTAAGAATCCCAGAATATTTACCTAATCGTCTTTCTGCTAGGAGTGAATATTTCACGAAAAGGAGTTTTTGTTCTGTCACCTTTCTTAATAACAACAGAATCCCTGATATTTTGGAAGAATTCTAGAAACAGAAAAATCTTGTATTTTTTAAAAAGCTAAGCCGTGTGTCTTTTGCACAAAATCAAGAAGACGTTGCTATTTTGGGGGATGGTGGCTTGTTCTTACTGGGAAACTGGAGTGATTTATTTCTAGGTAGCTGCAATTCACTGATGCTTTAGTGAAAAGATTGTACTCGGGCAGTACACCTTAGCAACAAGTGAGGTGGCAATAATGGCCCCAGCTGTCAAGACAGACAGTAAGAAGGACAACTGAGGACCAAGAACCTATTTGTCTTACTGAGCTTGAAGCAACATCTAGACCCATCAGATTGTAAGAAAGAGGCTGATATTTTAAGTTTGCAGAGGAGGAGTTTATATAGAGAGTGGTGCCAATTGAACTGAAATCTGTGGGATTCCTCAGAATTAATGTGATGAAGAAGAGACGAAGACTTGGTGGAAAACTGGGGGGCAACTGAAAGGTGTATGCTTTGAGGAACAGCTAAAGCACAAGAAAATCAAAAGAGATAAAATCATAGAAGCTGCAGGAAGACCAAATTTCATGAAATCTGCATTCTAAAAGCAAAACAGAGTCTTAGTAGAGGGTTCTCTGTGCGTGCATCTATAGAAAAAAATTGTCTTGTATTAAAAACATATTCAGATTTCATCCAAGTATGAATTTCAGTTCTTCAGAGCTGTAAAAGATGAAACTGCTTGAAACAGAACAAAAAATACTTTCATGGATACAGTGCTCTGGAGGGAATTAATATTTTATGGGTATTTCTCGCCAGTCCAGCAAAAGATGTTCATCTGGCTTTTTTTTTTTTAATGAAAAATTTAAAGCTAGTAAAAATTGCATTGGTCTAATTTAAAAGAAAAACTAAAAATGAAGTTATTCTTTTGTAGAAGAAACTGGTCAGATGATCTCTAGCAACAGTAGCAGTGCATCTGCTGCACCTCTACATTCAGATGTTGAAAACAGCAATGAGTTGGGCTCTGGGCAGAATGATTCCATTAAGATGCCTGATGATGCTGAAAATGCAGAGAGGGGATCCCAGACTTCAGAGGACATAGGTAATAATAGTGTCTCTAACATTCATTTTATGCATCTTTTCTTTTTACTTTTCTCATACACCAATAGAAAACTTCCGATTTTGAAGTTTGTTTTAAAAGCCTTTTTTCCCTGGGCAGGAGAGAAATCTAATGGTGAAAGAAGTGATTCTCCAGGCGCAGGAAAAGGCACGCCAGGTTCGACGCGAATGCTCACAAGATTACGAAATCCAGATAGCAAGTTGAGCCAGATGAAAAGCCAGCAGGTTGCTGCTGCAGCACATGAAGCAAATAAGTTATATAAAGAAGGCAGAGAGGTTTGTGCACATCTTGGAAAATTCAAAGAAGTACGAAAACTGTTTTAGAAAATTTATAATATTTTTAAAAATAAAAAAGTGATTTTGGCAGACTATGGATGTACTTAAAAAAAAAAGTAGTAATAATAAATTAGCAAATGGTGAAATTGTAATATCACAGGAAGCTTTTTTCCTCCCTCTCCTTTGCTTTTGCTCTCTTAGTTGCTGTCTACAGAGTGGTACAACAGTGACTCAGTGCGCCTCCTTTCCTTTAACGTGCTGGTCATGAAAGTTAGAGAATTGTTTACTATATAGCCAGTAATAAATTATATGCATTTTCTCCCACTTCTGTCGTCAAATCTCTCAGAACTGGTATGCCAAAACTACAACTTTACAGTGGTTCGTGTTTGATTATTATTTGAATAGCTAGGTAATAGCCACATTTCCAGTTCATAACAAATCTGTACTGGCAGAGTATGGTCATTTAAAGACAATCATTGCAAAACTGTAGCACTGCTTGATGCAGACAAAAGTGAAATCTCTCAAATGTCTGCCAGTTGGTATAAATTTTTTGTATGGCTTTAGGTTGTTTGTTGGTTTTTTGGTGGTTTGGCTTGGGTTGTGTTTTTTTTTTTTAAGTAGCCCAGTTTCTCCAGGAAAGAAATCTTTGAATGTTAAGAGTTCATTACAGTTAGTTGTCTGCATATTGTTTGGTGTATTAATTTTATTTTTGTTAACTGGTTTTCTTTGTAAGTTAGCATTTAGCATATTTATTCACAAACCTCTCAAATTTGGAACTCAGTTATGAGTAATTAGACCAGTGATGTTATCCATGCCATGTTTTCAAAGTCAAAGATATTTGTTTGCTTAGCTACATGTATGAATTCTGTGATTTACCAAGGAGGGGTTTCACAGAAAGCTTAGTTAAGTTTAGTGAAGCTATTTTCCCAAAGCTGTCTCCCTCAATAGGCACAATTCAGAACAGCAAAACAGGTTCCTGTTTGACTTCCTCAGGAGCCTGGATGGCGTGTTTTTTAAATGTTAAAATTGATCTTTGGGAATATCCTAACTCTATATACAATCAGTGATGAAGTACATATATTTAGTGTATCGGATAAACAGTTATTTGCTTCTGTAAACTGATGCAAGGTATTTTTATTATTTTATATATAGACAGTTGAAGCCTAAATCATAAAAAAGTAAATAGAAATATTTGAAACTTAAGTGAATCTTTAAAATCATTCTTTCTTTCACAAGGTTCTGGTGGTCAACTCTCAAGGTGAAGTCTCCCGAATGAACACAAAGAAGGAAGTTGTGATGAAAGGAAATATCAACAATTATTTCAAATTAGGGCAAGAGGGGAAGTATCGTGTTTATCATAATCAGTATGCCACAAATTCATTCGCATTGAACAAGCACCAGCACAGGGAGGACCATGACAAGAGACGACATCTCTCACATAAATTCTGTCTGACTCCTGCTGGAGAGTTCAAATGGAATGGGTCTGTACATGGGTCCAAAGTTCTTACCATATCCACTTTGAGGCTAACTATTATTCAGCTAGAAAACAATATCCCGGCATCATTCCTTCACCCTAACTGGGCTTCCCACAGGTAAATTAATAAATGAAAATATATATATTCTCTTGTTTTACTTGTATTTTTGCTAACAGTGTTAATAAGCAATGGTCTTTGTTTTTTCAAATCAGTGATTTCCAAGCACCGTGCTTCAGCATATTAAAATATAACATGTTTGTGTTTTGTGATGGATGGCTAAAAGGATAGCACATTTGAGTAAAAGATTAAAATATAGGAAGTTTTATCCTACCATTAAATCTTATTAACATAGCATGCTATATTAGTGCATGTGTATGTTTCAGGTTTTTATCTTTTTTTCCAATTTAGGTCTAACTGGATTAAGGCTGTTCAGATGTGCAGCAAACCTAGAGAATTTGCACTAGCGCTGGCTATATTGGAATGTGCAATTAAACCGGTTGTCATGCTGCCAATCTGGCGGGAATCGTTGGGGCACACTAGGTAAAATAAATAAACATAAAAATCTTTTTGAATATGAGAACTTTACTTTCTTTTACAATTACTAGTTCTTCTAAGCCTGTAAGAATTATGTTTAAATTTAGTCAGTCATTCAGCACTTGAAGTGTTTTTCTCAACCAGAAACACTGAAAATACATGACAAGATTTTTATAGTGTCATTGCTCCTGCAAAGCAAGTTTGTTTCCTTTATCTGAGCCACAGTCTCAAAGTGATAAAACTTTGGGAGAGTAGGAGAGCAAATTTCAACACACTCAGTTCAGTGGAGTCTGTCTTTTGTCTCTCATTGTGTCATAGGAGCAGAAGCACAATGTGTCTGATGTTAGACACAGTTGCAGGCAGCTGTGTTTGCCTTACTGGAATAGCCAAAAAAAGCAGTGTTCCTATTGCAAGTAATACGTATAACCTGATACTGGGCTTTCCTCTTAACTTCAGATAACTTAAAATTATTCAAAGGGGTAGTATATGCTCTTGTTTGACTTCTTATATTTGCTTACAAGATCCTGTACTTAAATATACTTAAATCTATATGTATTAGATTACGCAGAATGACAGCAATAGAAAGAGAAGAAAAGGAGAAAGTTAAAAAAAAAGAGAGAAAACAAGAAGAAGAAGAAACAATGCAGCAAGCTACATGGGTGAAATATACATTTCCTGTCAAGCATCAGGTAAGGTTTTATTTTGTGTGAAGAACAAAAACAATACAGAAGTTGTTGATTTCTTACTCTTTTTCTGTTTTAATTTTAAACTTAAAATTTTAATGTCATTGCGTTACTCCCTGCCATTGAAGTAGGAACCATGCCCACCTATTCAAGCGCATAATCTTGGTCTGAACTAAATTTGACATGTATTATGCTCTTAATGACATTGCCTGAGTTGACGGATGTTTGTCTGCAAAATGCAGCCATTCCTAATGGAAGGGTTCTAGATGGTTATTGGAGTCTTGTCTGTATGTCTGTCCCCATCCAGTGCTCCCCTCCCATCCCCGCTCCCCCGCAAAAAAGCTAGCCTAGCTACCTTTACTTTGGAAGGTTATATTATATGATGGGAACTACTATAGAAACCCCTTTATATTCTCCTACAGTAGATATTAAATACTTGTGTTGGAGTAGTTTTTTTACTCTAAATTTATTTGTTGTGACAAACATACAGGTTGATTCAAAAACGTGTATAATCTTTCAGTTTTTAGGTAAGTAGATTCTCACTGTTACATGAAATTGAAATGGTTTTTAGATGTTACTATGACAGAATCCATTTAATTATCAGCAAATATATCTTTAATTTTAGATAGTACATTATTTCACAAATATGCTTCAACTTGCTTGAAAAAGTCTGTAAGTTGAAGTTTTTGTTTTGTTTTTTAAAAAATCATCTTAGGTTTGGATGTATACATTGATAACGCAGCAAATAGCACCATTAAAACTACTATTTTGAACATATTTAACAGGTTTGGAAGCAAAAAGGAGAGGAATATAGAGTAACGGGATATGGTGGCTGGAGCTGGATTAGTAAAACACACGTCCACAGGTTTATGCCCAAGCTGCCTGGAAATACTAATGCAAATTACAGAAAGTTGCTACCAAGTAAGAGTTTGCATTGTTTACGTTTTTTTTAATTACAAACATACTGCTTTTTATTGCTTGCTTATTCAGTTAATTATTTGCATGTGGTATTTTTTATGAAGACTTTGTTACAAATAGTGTTCCAGAGAAGCTTTTGTGGATTTCTGCTAATCTTTGTTGATATAACAGTTCAGTTGTCATAGACATTTTTTAGCTACATTAAATTGTTTCAGTTATGAAGTTGTGTGTAATATTTGTACAGCTTTGTATAGCCTTATTTAAATTGAAGATAAATAAAAATTATGTAGATAATCACAAGCAAAAAGTAACATCTAAAATATTGGGGTGTGTATACACTTTTTTCCCCCCTCCGTGTTGACAAAATACTATTAACCAATTTTATCTGGAAACAATGGTTTTACAAGGGGAAGAAATCTATTTCTCTAAAAAGTTCAAAACACACCTTCTCGCTTATTTGTTCCAGTTGCACAGTTGACTTTTAGAATGCATCCTGAACCGTATGAGTCTTAGTTATAATAAACTTAATCTTGAGTTTCCTTTTAAAATTTAGAAAATGGCATCCCACCCTATATTACGTATCAAAATTTTCTTTCCTCACGTGTTGATGTAATACTTTCCCTGTTGCTTTTAACTGGATCAAACACAAAATGGATGCTGCTGCTTTTAGTGTTGTCTATATGATTGTTAAATTACATTTATTTTGCTTTCTGTATTGAAATTAATAGCCACTACAGTGTTAAGCACAAAGTCATTCGAATACTACTGTCCATTCTGGCTTAACTGTAGAAATCAAAATTATTAAAAATTATTTGTGAATTTTTGGCTTCTGAATTAATATGCTCTTAATAGTCTTAATAGGCCGGGTTTTCAGAAAGTGGTATTTAGTTTCCTGACAAATGGGTGTGGGTATGTGTGGGGGGGTGTGTGTGTGTGTTTTGTTTTTTAAGAAAAGCTGAACATGGACTCCTGGAAAAAATAATGTAAATGAAATGTTTTTATCTCTGGTGGGCTTTTAGATTGTTATTATTAATATTATTATTATCATCATCATCATCATCATCCTTATTATTATTATTATTCAATATTGCACTAAGCTTAATCTATGTTGTTACCATTGTATACTTAGTTATACTTCTGAATTTTAGTAATGATGTGTCAATGATTTGAGAGGTAAACTAACATATATTAAAATGTAGCGAAGTATAAAAAATATTCTGAATAATTTAAACTATTTAATTAATTTGTTAATAGCAAAGAGTGAAGATGAAAAATGCAACTTGGATAAACGAAAAGGTCCAATTAAGGTAAAAATAGAGAAAGACAGAACAAAGGATTCTCATGATCTGCAAGCAAAAGACAAAGCAGATGTTTCAGAAACCTTGGAGAAAGTACAAGTGAAAGAAGAAAAGTCGCATGAAGAAAAAGTAGAAGTTGATACAATTTCTGAAAATTTAGATCATGCAAAAGACAAAGGTGATATACTTAAGTTATTGTAAAACTAGCTATTCATTACAACATTGCATGTGTAAATGCATAGGACCTCAGAAATAACTATTGAAAAACTGTGTACCAGGTTTTGTCAAGATATTTAAAATGTCTCAGTTAAATGATTGCTTATTATCCCTTGGAGTAGTATCTAAAGTTTTTGTTCCCTTTTTCTTGAAATCTGTTGATATGCTAAAAGGTCCATTTGTTTCTTGGTACTTAATGTAAAAATAGTTCGGTATACATTGCTAGGGGAGCTTACTGATTCAGAGTTATTTCTTCTTCACAGTGGAAAAAGAAATCGATGGTGAAAATGATAAAGTCATCAAGGAAGAACCTATGGATGTAGATGATGTGAAAATTGAACCCCCCATAAAGGATGAGGGTAGTCATTGTAAGCTGGATATAATCAATGTCAGCGAGGGATTTCATTTAAGGACTTGCTACAAAAGGAAAGTAAAATCATCAAAATTAGATGGACTACTTGAGAGGCGAATAAAACAGTTTACACTGGAAGAAAAACAACGTCTAGAAAGGATGAAACTGGAGGCTAGTGCTAAAACAGTAGGCATTCGATCTGTAAGCCCCCAGAAAAATACAGATGAGCTACAAATGAGAAAAGTAAAAGAAGGAAGCCAGTTTGACATGTCTTCCCAAGATCAAACCTATATTTCAGATAAGACCCAAACCGAAGATGCGGAACAGGACTGCTTGCCAATCAGCAGCATCTCTTGTACCAAAACTGGTGAGCTAGATGAACCCTCTTTGCCTTTGACAAACAGGCTATCAAAAAGAGAAGGCCAGCTACTGGATGAAGACTCACCTCAATCTTCTGAAGGTGAAAGCTCCATTCAGAATGATAGTAAGGAAAACAACCCTGAATCTATGACTGCTGATAAGTGTCAAGGACAAGAGGTTTTTGGAGAGTCTGAGACTTCCTTTGTGGATGGCTTGAAACAAACAAATGCAGAAGGTAGAATCAAATGGGATGTTTCAGAAGCAAGCGAAAAACCTTTGAAACAAAAACTACCTATTACCAGGGTATCTCAGCATGAACGTGAAAACTTAGAGCCAGTGGTAACCAACAGCAGCTGTAGAAAAGACGCTCTGGCCACTCTTGAAAAAACAGATTCAGAAGGGAATTCTGAACAGCAGAGCAAAGATCCAGAAAACAATTGTATGATAAAAAGCCATATTGAACCAATGTCCTCTCAAGAAAGTGAAATGGAGGAAGAAATTGCTCCAGGAAAGACTGAAAAATCTGAAAACAAGATTATATTTCACCAAAAATCAGTTAGTAAAGATCTAGAACCGTTTAAAACAGAGCTAATTTCTGAAAGAAACCTTGAAAGTCAAACTCTGGAACACATGGATGAGGTAGAAGTTGATGAGGATTTACTGAGCTCTAAACTAACTGAGGCTAATGGTCAAAAGAAAGGTCAGGAACTGAAAGTGGAGACAAGTACCATAAACAAATATCTTGATCAGACAAATCTAAATAGTGTTACTGACAAAAAGAATAATAAAGATGAAGAAACTGAGACAGCTTTAGAAAAAGAAAAATCAGCATTTCAAATTAACGGAAAAGACACTGATATTAAAGTATTATCAAACGATGACTGCTTAGTTAAAGATACCTGTGAAACTAAGGCAGGGGGTGATATTGAACCAAAAGTTAATAATATTAATAAATCCATTCCGGAACATGAAATAAAACCATTGACTTTTAAGGAATCTTCAGTAAAACCATTCATGAATGGTGACATCATGATAGAGGACACAAAGGACAAAAATAATGTGGACCCTAAGTCCTGTCTGCAGAGTTCACCTGAGTTTGAATCTGGAGCGAGTCTTCAGCCACCAGATGAAGTTCCCAAGTATGTGCAGAAAATAGAAGAAAAACAGCTTTCTCCTGAGAGATCTGCTTTTGTTGGCACTGCTTCCACGCCAACGCATACTGTCTGTAAAGAAAATAACCTGAATAGTGAGACAGAATCTATGGAAACTGAAGTAATTGAGGATAAGAAAGTTGCTCCATCGCCTGTAACCTCATGTGAGGAATCTAGCTTGAGTAGCGACTTTGCTGATCAGAACGGTGTACAGACATATAAAATGGAAAATATTAATGGAGAAAGTAAAATAAAAACTGTAATTACTGAAGTGACAACCACAACATCAACTGTGTCTACAGAATCCAAAACTGTGTTTAAAGTTGCAGAGACTGTAGCTTCTAATGATGAGAAAACAACAGTAGTATCATCTACAGAAAATTGTGCCATATCCACTGTCACTACCACCACTACTGTAACTAAGCTCACCACTCCAGCTACAGACAGTAACGTTGATGTCATTTCTGTACAAGAGCATAGTAAAACAGTGGTTACAACAACAGTAACCGATTCACTGACCACCCCAGAAGGCACGTTGGTGACTTCCATGACTGTCAGCAAAGAATATTCTACAAAAGACAAAGTGAAGTTAATGAAATTTGCGAGACCCAAAAAAACTCGTTCTGGAACTGCCTTACCATCTTACAGAAAATTTGTTACCAAAAGCAGTAAAAAAAGCATATTTGTTTTACCCAATGATGACTTAAAAAAGCTGGCCAGAAAAGGAGGGATCAGAGAAGTTCCCTATTTCAATTACAATGCAAAGCCTGCCTTGGATATCTGGCCGTATCCATCCCCAAGGCCAACTTTTGGGATCACTTGGAGGTACATACTTTACATTTTTGAGGAGAAGTTTAGGATGTGATTAAATTAATTGAATTTTAAAATACAAGTGATATATATGTTTCTGCCCAAACATGCAAATTTTGCAATTTATTATTCAATAATTTTCTGTATTGTTCAATAAAGGTAGAATGGAAACCCTTTGTTCCATTGGTTTGGTTAGGTATTTTAAATACATTTTGATTTTAAAATATAATTAATACTCTATTGTTAGGTACCGACTTCAAACAGTAAAATCGTTGGCTGGAGTGAGCCTTATGTTGCGGTTATTGTGGGCATGTCTCAAATGGGATGATATGGCAGCAAAAGCTCCACCTGGGGGAGGAACTACACGTACAGGTATTATTTCTTTAAATTTCTGGGTTTCTTAATGCAAAAGTTCTTACTGTTAATTTTGGGTGTTACACTCATTACAAGCATTTCTGTAAAGGCTTGATGTTAGCTATGACATTTGAATTTTTTTAGTCAACAGTTTGTACTAGTTGCTGTTTCTTTACCTTGAGTATATTAGGTTGATTGGAGATTTAGCTTTTATTTGTTTTCTGTTGTTAATGTATTGGGACTGATTTGTTGTAGAAACATCTGAAACAGAAATTACAACAACAGAAATAATCAAGCGAAGAGACGTTGGTCCATATGGAATCCGGTCAGAGTACTGTATAAGAAAAATTATTTGTCCCATTGGTGTGCCAGAGGCTCCAAAAGGTATGTTTGTTTATACATTTTCTTTTTTTTTCCCCTTCCCATAAGCTCCTACAGAAATTAAGGTAACTGGATCTTTATGTTAATTCAGACCATCAAGGGAGCAAATATAGCTTGATGTGAACTATTCATTCGCCCATTTGAAACAAATGACGCATTTAACAAACTGACGTGATTTATCCAAAGCTGAAAGGCCTTCCTGTTTATAAAATGAGACTGAAAGAGACACTAAATCTTGGTTTACACTTTAATTTTGTTTTATGATTGAGCTTAATGTGTGTGTTTTGACTGTTCTCTAAAGAAACTCCAACACCCCAGAGGAAGGGACTGCGATCAAGTGCACTAAGGCCAAAAAGGCCAGAAACACCCAAACAAACGGGCCCTGTTATAATTGAAAGTTGGGTAGCAGAGGAGGAGTTGGAACTGTGGGAGATCAGGGCGTTTGCTGAAAGGTAAACGAACTCAAATGAGCTTTTAAAGAAAGCAGTTTTAATTTGTGTATGTTAAATAAAAGTTCCCACTAGAGAACACAAACTTGGTAGCTACAATCAGTAAAAGCGAATCTGTGTTGCATTTTTACTGTGTCTTTTGATAATGATAGTCAAGCTTAAAGTTGTAAAGCTAAACTATTAGCCAAAACTAATTTATGCAGATGTTACAGATTTGTTAGAACTAATAATATATTAATTTTTCCATGCTTATGAACTAATCACTGTTGTGTGCTAAAAGGCTTTTACTATTACTATGGAAAGGCTTTAGGCTGCTTTTGGCATGACTTTAAACAGTAGTGTTTAAATACTTCTATAATACAAAGAAAATGAATATGTACAAGTAAAGTAAAGGTAAATTCAGCCTGAGAATATTCAAGTCATAAAATGAATTTTTTTTTTCAGTACTGCATGCTTAGAGTTGGAACAACATTTTTGAGTCTCTTGGAAATAATTGTTTTAAATTAATGGTATTACATAGATTGTTTGCAGGTGTAATTATAAATTCCAGTTTTGCTTAATAGTTGCCTGTAAGGTGTTGCAGTAGTTTAGTATCAGAATATTTCGGGGATGTTGCATGCAACTTCAATAGTTTCTTTCAGAATACTTTTAAAGCCATGACCAGTTTTTCAGCGATCTTCAGTCTTGTTCTTATAAGAGCAATTAAGCTGGATAAAATGAAATCCAGTTTGATGGTTGGGTTTTATGTGGTGGTATAACTTACTTTCGGTTGTGTCTTTTGCAGGGTGGAGAAGGAAAAGGCACAGGCAGTTGAACAACAGGCTAAGGTTAGTGAACAGAAGAAGGCAGAGGAATTCAAGGCCCAATTGGAGGCTCAACTAAAACACCAACGATTGGCTGCCCAGCAGGTGGGGGAGCTATTGGTAGTCCCACCTGTCAGCAACTATGCACTGGTAGTCCACATGCATTAGAATATGGGAAACAAAGTTTATCCCTATCTTACGCTATTTTTCAAATCTCCTGTGCAAAGTAAGCCATCAAACAATGCTGCTCCCACTGTGTACATTTATTATTGAAACGGGGTTAAGGCAAAGATTTGTTTTGGTTCCTCTTTTTTTTTTCACCTAATTTATAACACTTTGAAAAGGTTTAGTTTGTTTCCATTTTAAAAGAAGGCTGAGAAGCACCAATTGCCAGGTAAGGTCAACAGTGTTCTCTGATGTAATGGAAAGCTGCCTTGGTATATAGCTGACTTGGGACTACAACTGCATTTGTTCTTCATGCTTCAATCAAATTGAATCTTTTGATTTTATCCTATCTTAAGTTGGCTGAATGAAGCTCATTGATAATTTTTTAGACAGAGATACATATGTATGTATAGATGTAAGTAAGTGTGTATATATAAATGTATGCAATTAAAATTGGGAAACCCAATGCCATGTTGGTATTTCACATACATTATTAAGAATTGTGCTTTTTTCCAACTTACTCCTTTTTCCTTTCACCTTCCCTGAAGAAAATACATTACTGGTGAATGAGTGTTTCTGATTCGTGGGCATTACTGCAATACAATGCTAACCAAACACTGAAATTTATATTACTAAATACAGAGATAATTCCAGCAACATAGGGAAGAATGTTAGATTAGTTGGAATTTTTAAAAGAGCTTACTGATACTATCCCTTCACAAAGTGGCTCTATAAATTAAATGTACCTTCTTGACAGTTATAGCACAGAACGTTGCTGGGTAAGGTAAGGGAATTTGAACCTAATTTTTTTAAGCAAGCTGCAAACTGGATTTACAGTTAAAAGAGTAATTTTTAAAATTACATTCTTAATGGTGAAGTAGAATGATAGAGTCTTTTGTTTTTTCTGTAACTGCCTCAGTGCAGGCAGCTCGAAACTTAGGAATGATAGTAATAAACTCTGTGTTAATGATGGTGTACCGCTTACTGACAGGTGCAGGCCGTATGCACATGGTCAAAGCCAAATATAAATGGGTATTTTTAAAAGTTTTTTAACCTTTCAGATTATTCTGAGACATAAGGTTTCTTTAAAGTAATATGTGCAGTGAAATTAACATAAGCTGAGGATTTTAGAGATAAAGGAACATTTCTGGCTGAGTTGTAGTTCGGCAGGTTAAGGGGTCTGCGCTATAGGGAACGCAAGCAGCCTGTTCTTCAGTCCTTTGCAACTTGAACTAAAATCCTACCAGAGTCCTTTATTTTTCAACACTGGGAAGAAGCAGCATTTATTTTACAAAATCTGAAAATGCTAATTATCCCTTTGTTTAATTTTTTTCTAAATTCTGCAGAAGCGGCTGGAACAGCAGAAGCAGATACCTGCAGCAGGTGTGGCCCCCGCAGTCACTACAGCCAGCAGCACTGCAACTACTGTCTCAACGGCACAGAAAGTTGTGGTAGGCCCTTTAGCGGGCCCAGTCCCCACTGGAACCAAAGTAGTACTTACTACAAAAGTGGGTTCTCCAGCTACCGTAACATTCCAACAGAACAAGAATTTCCATCAGACTTTTGCTACTTGGGTTAAACAAGGCCAATCTTCAACAGGTAAGTAGCCATTTATCATGGAAAGAACATGTAAATAGGATGAACTCCAGCACAGCACCTATATCTTCTCCAGAATATATAGCATTATTACATTTCTTGTTATCTTTGCTCTTAACTCTCTTGCTAAGTCAGCAGGACACCTCTGAGATAATATCTGTCTAATTTTTCTTTGTTCAGACTTGCTAGGTAGTCTTATTTCTGACCTGTCTCATTTATTACTGACAGTTGTTGTACTAGTAATCATTGATAATGAAAGTAACGTACTGTTTCCAAAAAAGAATCTTTACCAAAGAAAGCATGATGCATTCAAAAATGATTGTAAAAATAATCCTGTAGTTTTGCTGTTTCGTACTTGAAAATAGTCATTTCATTGACTAATTACTCTGCTCTAAAACTGACTGTTCTGTGTACCTCAATAGCCACTAGCACAGCTGCCACTTCAGCCACAACCATTGCCAGCACAGGGCAGACCTTCCAGATCTCAGGCAGTCCAGTAACGATGGCAGGGAAAGTGATAACTAAGCTGCCACTCCCTGCAAACAGCAAGATTGTTGCCGTCAATGTGCCATCAACTCAAGGAGGTAGGGGAAGGGGAACTGAATTAAAAATGTATTCCAGCTTGCTGATTAATTCTCCATTGACACTATTTTCCCAGTGAAGTAAACTGTGACTTGAAGGGGGAAAAAGATATACAAGTTTCTAGAGCTTGTTCCCCCTGTATTGTGTATTTGTGTCTGTAGGGGAAAAAGGCAAGTTTCTTGCCTATAAATTAGTCTACATTTCATAGTGCAAAATTAGAAGCTTTATTTTTAACAATGTGGAAGGAAGCATGCTTTTTTTTTCGTTATCTAAATTATACATCAACAAAACAGCTTTCTTCACTAAAAAAAAAAGCTGCTGTTCTTAGTTATTAATGCCTGCATCTGCTCTTCACTGATGAGCAAGAGTTTGGCTCCAAACTAAGATTAGCGTTTTTTCTTCTTGCTTCAAGAAGAGGACTTAATACTTTGAGATTTGTGAATGTATATTGAACAGAAAAGCTCAATTCTCTGTCTCCATTATACTTAGCATCTGAGGAAATAATGAAGGCTATTTTGTATTGAAATCTCTTAAGTGACAGGAAAAACATTACCCGTTTTCTTCAGCACCACGAGCTTGTAGGTGAAAGGTGTTTAAACTGGTCTCCTACATTTTAAATTAATCAGATTATAGCTTTTAATGGTTGTATAATACTAATTTGTGGCACCGTGTCAATGCAAGGACTTATTTGCAGTTACCATCAAACTG